TGGTCGGTGGCAGGTGGGTGGCAGATGGTATGGGGGTGGGTGGTGGCGGGTGTGGTGTGGTGGCAGGTGGTGGCAGATGGTAGGTGGTGGTGGGTGGTGGCGGGTGGTGGTGGTGGGTGGGTGGATACGTGGTAGGTGATGGGTGGGTAGCGAGTGGGTGGTGGTGGTGGTGGTGTCGGCGGGTGGTGGCAAGTGGGTAGCGGATGGCGGGTAGTGGTTGGTGGTGGCGGGGGGTGGTTGGTGGTGATGGGGTGGGTGGGTGATGTGGCAGGGTGGTGGCGGTAATGAGTGGGTGGTGGTGGTGGTGTGGTGTGTGGTGGTGATTGGTGGCGGGGGGTTGGTAGTGGCAGGTGGGTGCGGATGGCGGGTGGGTGCGTGGGTGGTGATGGTGGGTGGGGGTGACGGTGGCGGGTGTGTGGGCAGTAAATGAGTGGTGGTGGTGTGGCAGTGGGTAGCGGAATGAGGGTGGTGGTGGGGGTGGCGGGTAGTGACAGTTGATGGTGGTTGATGGTGGGTAGGTGGCGGTGACCAGGGTGGTAGGTGATAGCGAGTGGTGCGTGGGGGTGGTGGTGGGGTGGCAGGTGCGTGGCAGCATGGTGGGTGACGGATTGGGTGGTGGGTGGTGATGGTGGGTGGGTGCGGTGACGGTGCGGGTGTGCGGTAGTGAGGGGTGGTGGTGTGGCAGGTGGGGGTAACGGGATGGGGTGGTGTGGGGGGTGGCGGGTGGTGACAGGTGATGGTGTGTGATGGGTGGGTAGGTGACCGTGACGGGTGTAGGTGGTACGCAGGTGGGTGGTGGGGTGGGGTGGTAGGTGGGGGTGAATGGTGGGCAGCAGGTGGGTGGGGATGGGTGGTGGTGTGGTGGTGGTGGGTGGTGGTGGTAGTGGCGAGGTGCTGTTGGTGCGGTGGATGGTGGTGGCAGTGGGTGGTGAGTGGTGCGGTGGGAAGTAAGTAGCGGGTATGGTAGCGGGCGGTAGATGCGTAGTGACGGTGTGTGGTGGTGGGTGATGTGGTGGGTGGTGGTGCACTGCAGTGGCGGGGCGAGGGGTGGGTGGTAGTGGGATTAGGTACGCAGCGTGGGTGGTGGGTGGTGTGTGACATAGAGGTGAGTGGTGGTGGGAGGTGGGTCGGTGGTGGCGGAAGACGGTGGTGAGAAATGTGGCAAGTGGTGGCTAGTGTTGGGTGGTAAAAAAAAAACTCAAAACTCAAAATCAGAAACACATTTTTTGATGTTTTTTATTTTTTGGCCAAATTTATAAACTGAGACCACTGATTTATTTAAATTAAAAATTTTACCAAACAAATTTTATTTGAGTTTTTTAAAATTTTTGTAAATATAAACAAAAAAACTGAAAAACGTAAGTGTTACCAAACGCACAAAGAGTTTTCTCATGTTTTTTACATTTTTTAAATCTTAATTTTATCTTCTCAAACCTACTATATATATATTTTTTAAATTATGAAGAGTCCTATATAAACCAACTATTTCTTTATTTTTTGGAGTTGAAACACTCAAAAAATCATATATCGGCTTCAAGAGTTCTATATAATATAAACAAATCGTATCCCTTCTTAACACCAAAAAAAAAAAAAAAAATCATATCTCTATATTTTATACTGATGATGATTGAAGAATAAAGACTAATTACTCTTTCTTTATTTCCTGTGTCTGCTTTTATATGCTGATATACATAATATTTATAATTATCCATCATTGATCAAATTGTTGTAAATAATTTTGGTTAAATTTTAAAGTTATATGTATATAGTTCAAATCTAGAGTAAGGAAAAACGCATACATTTTAAATAGAAATTTATGTTGTATCTCAAAAATTTACAGGTTATTTTCATACATTTTTCTTTTTATTTATATTAGATTTTTTGAACTGTAATATTTTACATGGTTCTTTAATAATCAAGGTATGATATCAAATTTTCTAAATAAGAACCACTTTGTTGGTTTTATTTTTTGTAAATCTGTTTTTCAATTATTCTCTCTCGAGGACTTCCAGGACTCGTCACTCCAGGTCTGAGAGAACGAGGACTGAAAGGTCATATACAGAGAATATTTTGTCTCAATGTTTTCAAAAATAGATATCATGGTTAGTAGAGGCCGATCTTTGATCGGGCGAGCGGGGGTGCTCACGAAGTGACCTCCCCTAATCGTACCCAAGTTCCCGAGCCGATGCAACTTTGGTGATGACGGACACGTGGCCTTAGGCAAATGAGTCAGGGTTTCCTAAATTTTCCCAAAATAAAATATTTAGGTGGCGACTCTGTATCTGGCAAAGCAGTCCATGTTTGGCACTTCTTTCAAAAATCTGTTTTCTCAAAACGATTTGCCGGATTTGGACTCTTTGGTTCAGACTTAGAACCGTGACTACGAAAAGTCGAGTCCGAGCTGTAGCGAGGTCCCCCCGCGGGCTTGTTACAGTGGGTGTCGAGTGGTGGTGGCAGGTGGTGGTGGGAGGTGGGTGGTGGTGGCGGAAGACGGTGGTGGAAATGGTGGCAAGTGGTGGCTAGTGTTGGGTGGTAAAAAAAAAAAACTCAAAACTCAAAATCGAAACACATTTTTTATGTTTTTATTTTTTGGCCAAATTTATAAACTGAGACCACTGATTTATAAATTAAAAATTTTACCAAACAAATTTTATTTGAGTTTTTAAAATTTTTGTAAATATAAACAAAAAACTGAAAACGTAAGTGTTACCAAACGACACCAAAGAGTTTATCATGTTTTTTACATTTTTTAAATCTTAATTTTATCTTCTCAAACCTACTATATAGATATTTTTTAAATTATGAAGAGTCCTATATAAACCAACTATTTCTTTATTTTTTGGAGTTGAACACTCAAAAAATCATATATCGGCTTCCAAGAGTTCTATATAAATATAAACAAATTGTATCCCTTCTTAACACCAAAAAAAAAAAAAAAATCATATCTCTATATTTTATACTGATGATGATTGAAGAATAAAGACTAATTACTCTTTCTTATTTCCTGTGTCTGCTTTTATATGCTGATATACATAATATTTATAATTATCCATCATTGATCAAATTGTTGTAAATAATTTTGGTTAAATTTTAAAGTTGTATGTATATTAGTTCAAATCTAGAGTAAGAAAAACGCATACATTTTTAAAATAGAAATTTATGTTGTATCTCAAAAATTTACAGGTTATTTTCATACATTTTCTTTTTATTTATATTAGATTTTTTTGAACTGTAATATTTTACATGGTTCTTTAATAATCAAGGTATGATATCAAATTTCTAAATAAGAACCACTTTTGTTGGTTTTATTTTTGTAAATCTGTTTTTCAATTTTTAGTTTTCATATTTTTGTTGTTCATTTTTCATATTTTCTCAATTTTGTTGATTAAAGATATTGAAATTTCTTCTTATTTTATATTTAAATTATGCTTTTGCATGAATATCTAATATTTAATATTCTAAATAGAATTAAAAAAATAAAATATTGGTAAAAAAATTATAAATTCGAACGTGTACTATTTTTATTTTTTTATTTTTATATTATTATTATTATTATTATTATTATTATTTAATATTAATAATTTTTTTCAAAAAGAATACACATTATTTTCTAAGTGTATTTGGATAAAGTGAATCAAAATCTAAAAGTAAAATTAAAAAAATAAAAAAATATTATTAAATTAAGTGAATCTAAATAAAAGGATTATTAAAACAAATAATATCAATGACAAAAGAATTAAAATCAAAAAAGATAAAAGTTTGAAAAAACAAATCAAATCAAACATTGTAAACTTCTCTTTTTTTTAAATCTTTTTTCACTAATCTATAATTTTACACAAGTTAGTCACAAATTCCTTTCATTTTTTATATGAATTTAACAATCTAATTAAAAAATAGAACATACACATAAAATATATATATATATATATAATGCTAAACATACATTATGCCAACTATTTAATTATGAATAATATATTTTTCATTGTTATTTGTATTATATTGTTGCAAATGGTTTTATTTTTGATATCTTATATATATATATATAATATAAATGTAAATTTATATATGTTATTGTATTCATACATTACCAATCCGTAATGCTATATTATCATCAGATACTAAATAATAGTTTTTTTTTTTTGGGGGGGGGGAATCTAACTTTTTTTTTTATGGTATAATTATTGTAATTTAAAAAAAATAATTTTTCAAAGTTACATTTTGATAATATTTTTTTTTTTAAGAATATCAATTGTTATAATTGTACCTTTTGTGTTGTTAATGAATTTAAAAGTGTTAATGTAAATTGTAAAAGTAAATGTAAATTACCACTCCCACTCCACCTACCACCTCCACTACCACCTTCACCTACTCCCAAATCCTCTCCTATATAAATCCTTGTAATATACACAATTCAATACAACATTCAATACAGCAATCATAATACATACAATTTCTCTCTATATCAATTTCTCTTACATATCAAATGGAAGTAGAAATGAGAGGTGGTTGGAAGTGTAAAAGACAGGGCGGCAGCCTCGCCTTGGCCGCCCGCCGGACCTCTCATCTCTCAACTGTTAGCAGCTACTAATATTGCAGATCGAGCACACCAGCCTTCCTCAACCTCTCTACAACCCCTGTATCTCGAGCCAACTCCGACCCATGCGATATCGACGTTGCTTCAAGTCATGATTGACCTGCGCCAACCACGCACGCTCAATGTGACGTTGGCTTGACCAGCACCCTTTGCACCCGCCACTTGTATGCACTGCTCGCGCCGCAGTTCAAGGCACTGCCGACAACACGACCCAAGCCGCCGATAACTCACTCCATCGGGCAGAAGTATCACATGATAGGAAGCAAAAGTGGGTCTTTCAGAGGTAGTCTCCGCACTGTAGAGCCAGTCATAAACAGTGGGAGAGTTTGGGTGTGGCTTGTCGAACATCTCAGCACCAATACGCTTCGTCGCAATGTTGCTACCTGGGTGAAACACACTTCTCCACACGTTATCTTTACGCGCCGCCGTTGGTGACGGTGTTGTCGGCGTCATCGGCGTCCCCGGTGTCGCCGGACTCGCCGGCATCGACAATGACCTCTGAATCGTACTCCCCTCTCCTTCATCTTTGATGTTAAGAGGAGTAGGGATCTTCCTGAGCTTCTCGAGGCCTCGTTCAGGGTGAGGTCCTGCCATAACATCATCCCAAATCTTGTCTAACAAAACCATCTTCAAACTCTCACTCTCACTCTCACTCTCTACTCCCCTCTCTCTCTCCACTATATCCCCTCACTCTCTGTCTCTACTTATTTCACGGTTTTTTTTTTTTTGGCCACAATTCATGTGGGTCTGAGGCAACAATTCAGAATACAAAAGGACAGTTATCCTGTTTTCTTTTCTTTTCTTTTCTTTATTCTCCACCCAAGCAACAATTCAGAATACAACCACATGATTCCATTTCTTTTCTTTTCTTTATTCTCCACCCACACAACATATAGAATATATATTCCCCCACATGATCCTCATCATTCATCCCACTAAAGTATATATATTAAAAAAAAAAAAAAAAAAAAACAACCCCACCCCCATTCCCCCTTCCCCCCCCAAAAAAAAAAAAAAAAAAAAAATATTGGCTTTTATCTATTTTCTTTTTATTATTTTATTTTATTTTTCTTATTCTCCAAAAACCCCAACACCAAAATCAACGCCACAAACATTGCACACACTTGTCATTTCTTCATGCCGGGGATCAACCCCAATCACAATTTTACACAAAAAAAACAAAAAAACAAAAAAAAAACACAAACACAAACACAAACAAACAAACAAACAACCAAACAACCAAATCCACAACCACCACCCACAGGCGGAACTTTTTCCTTCTCCCTTCTCTACTCTGCCGCCGGTCTTTTCTTCTTGCCTCCGTCCTGGACGGCCCTTGCCGGTGTTGCCTCCGTGTTTCCCGTGCCGCCAAGCCAGTTGCCTCCTCCCTGCTCCTCCACTCCCGCATCTGGTGGACCTCCAAATCGGAACATCACGGTGGCCTTCCGCTTCAGCTCCTTGTTTTCCGCCCTTAGCATGCTTATCTCTGCTCGCGCATCCTTATACATGCGTTGGAGCAGAGCCAGTTGGGCACCACCACTCACCACCCACCTGCCACCACCATCCACCACCACCCACCACCACCATCTACCCACCACCTACCGTCTTTCGCCGCCACTTGCCACCACTTACCATTTTTCACTCTTTTTTATATTTTTTAAATTTTGTAAACATTTTGTCAATTACCAAACGCGTTTGTAGTTTATGTTTTTCTAAAAATAAACAAATTTCACATCATTAAAAATATTTAATATTTCACATTATTGAAAATTTTAAAAAAGTATCATACATTAGTAAATCATCACATATATAATAGCTAATTTATCTAAGAATTACTTCAAAAAATCAAAAGTAGAGTAACAAAGGCATATTATAATTAATCAAAATGACTAATATATTAAATAAAAGTACCACTAATTTTGCTTAGGGGTTTTTTTTTTTAAGGTCCCTGGTATTATGATTTTATAGCATAAAGGACATCAAATATTTTTATAATGTCTAAGGTCCCTCAACAATATTTTCATAATGTCTAAGGTCCCTCAACCTTGATCCAGAGAAATTTCAGTCCAGAGAAATTTCAGTCCAGAGAAAATTGGTCCAGAGAAATTTGGTCCAGAGAAATTTCTCTGGGCCAGAATTTCTCTGACCAATTTTCTCTGCACTGAAATTTCTCTGGACTAAATTTCTCTGGACCAATTTTCTCTGGACTGAAATTTCTCTGGATCAAGGTTGAGGGACCTTAGACATTATGAAAATATTGTTGAGGGACCTTAGACATTATAAAAATATTTGATGTCCTTTATGCTATAAAATCATAATACCGGGGACCTTAAAAAAAAAACCCCATGTATTGAAGGTACAGATTATGAAAAATTGGAATGGAAAGTTGATAAAAAAAAAGATATGTGTAACACTATATATTTAAAGAACTTGTTTATTGTTTATTGTTTAAGATAAGATTGTGATCTCAATAATCTAGTTATAAATTAATGTTTATATTTATAAAATTTCTAATTTAAATTCTTCAATCGAGTATGCATTCATTTCTTATTTAATTGTAATTTAGATACAGATTAATTTATCCATATCAATCTCTATATTTTATATACATATTACATATCAATTTAAAAATATATATATAATTACAATGTTAACGATTGATATAAAATCACGTGCAACGCACGTACTTAACCGCTAATTTTATATATAATTCGGAAGAACTACCAATCTCTAAGCCTACTTTTGTATCAAAATAGGAGATTTAAAATTCACCAAAATACATATAATCTTATAATTTTTTTTTTGATAAATTAAAAATGTACCTCATAAAATTTACTTAAAATATAAATTACTCTCTATGGTTCTGAAAATTATATTTTGCCTTTGAAATTTCTAATTTCCTAACAAATAATCCATTTTATTAATAAATTATCAAGTCAATTAACATTGTTTAATTATATCAAAATTTTATTGTAATTAATAATTCAAGTAATTTTATTATTGTACAAGAAAGCAGTTTGAAATTTATTTTTTTAGTTAATTTTGTTAAATAAAAATTATAACAAAAAAGTATTTATAATTTTTTAAATTATAAGAAGCAATATATATTTTAAACCGATATTTATAATTTGCCTATTTTTTTCCCAGACAAACAGAGCCGTATTGTAGTTTATGTCTCCTGACTGTTGGACAGGACGGTCCCTCGCAAAAGTTTGGGTTTTTTTCTATCTAAAAAAATATATATATATATTTCGGGTTTTTTAAATTCAAAATTAAAAAATTAAGTTGTTTTGAAAATTAATTTTAAAAATAGGTCAAAATGTATTTACAAAATATATTTTCAACATAATTTTTTTAAATAATTAATAAAAAATCTGAAATTAATTTTTTTTAAATAAAAATCTAAAAACGTATTTTGTAAATATGTTTTCATAATAATTTTTGAAAACATATTTTATTTAAATAATTAATAAAAAAAACTAAAATTATAACATTTTTTTGAAAAATAACATAAAATTTGAAAACGTATTTGTAAATATGTTTTCATCATAATTTTTTTTAAAAAAAAAATAATTAATACAAAGTCTATTGAAACTGAAAACGTATTTTATATTTTTTCAAGTAATTAATAGAAAAAATTGAAAACATCATATTTTTTTTTAAAAATAAATAAAAAAATAATTTATAGAAAGCGTGTTCAAATAGAAAATGCATTTCGTAAATATACTTCTATTTAATTTTTAAATATTTATAGTGTTGTATTTTTTTAAATTCGTTTTCAATATGATTTTTTTCAAAAAAATAATTAATAGAAAGTAGTTGAGATAGAAAACATATTTCGTAAATCCGCTTTTATTATTATAAATAAAACAACCGAGATTAGAGTATTTTGTATCACTTGACATGTTGCACACACCAATTGATAATGCTTTTAATAATTTTCAAACTTAAGCCCATGCGAAGCTTAACCCCCCCTTTTTTTTATAATATGGTTGCATATTATTATTATTATTCGCATTTTTTTTTTTTTTTGATCTCGGGCTCTCACTTGCCGTTGTTCGTCCCTCTTTCAACATAATTTATATATATCTATCTATCTATACTATTATAAAGTGAACACATAACTCTTATGGTGTCCTGAAGCTTTACTCTCCTTATGCCATGTGGCAGTATTTTTTATTTTTTTTAAAAAAAGTTAAACAAAGAGATGGGCAAGGCTTGCTTTCAACACAATTTTTTTTTTATTTATGTATATTTAAAATAGAAATGGTGTTTAATGAATCTTTGTTTTTAAAAAAAAAAGTGTGTTTCAATTTTTATTTTATTTTTTTAAAATTATGATTTCAATTTTTTATTAATTATTTTTTTAAAAAAAATTATAATAAAAACTTATTTTGTAAATATGTTTTTAAAAATAATTATGAAAACATATTTACAAAATATGTTTTTGACTTTTTAATACAGAAAAATTATGATTTCAATTTTTTTATTAATTATTTAAAAAAATTAATGATGAAATCGTATTTTGTAAATACACTTTATGATAAAACGTAAATATGTTTGACCTATTTTGGGAATTAAGTATTCAAAAGTCCTATTTATAAGGTTGGTTGGTGCTCCATTAAGTCATACTCCATTATTTTTAATCTATAATGTTCTATATTCAAAATATTTATGTATATATTACAATTTTATCTTTATTAAAAGGCAGAAGGAATTGAAAAGTATTAATTCAATAAGAGTTAACAAAAAAAATTATTAGCTGCTCCAAGTGTACTACATGACAACATTATTCATTAATTATCAAGTATTACGTTGTATGTTTCAACACAAAATTGTGGACCTTACCATCTCTACCAATCACAAATCTGTTAATAACCATGTGACCATGCCTAAAAACACTAGATAATTTATCATAATTCAAGTGGGACATTTACTTTTGTTTCGTTGTTTCACAACTTAAAATTTTCATAATTTTTATTATGTACATTTATTTGTAATAAAAATGATTTTTTTGGAATCTACGTAACGAAATCTATCAAACAACACCAATATTGAATACAGATTTTATAAAAATAAAATGTTATTTTTTTAATTATATGAAACTAACAATTTTTTAATTTGTAAAACTATCTAATAAAATCGAAAAATTTCTTTATTTTTTTCCTGTATTAACCGAGAATATTATCAAATTTTGAGAAATTTCTCAATTTTTTCTAGTGTTACAACTAAATTACAATTTTAAACTGATAATATTCTCAATTTTAAAACTGAAAAAAAAAAATGAGAAATTTCTCAATTTTGCACAGAAACGTTTCTTATAATTGTTTCATCACCTAAAATTTTTTTCAGTCTTCTTAGTTCCATAATTAAGATATTTCTCAATTTGTTTATAAATGTTTATATGTGGAAGATATATTTTATTTGTTTAAAATTTTAATTTATGGTTAGCAATTAAGAAAATGGTAAATTACATATACCTCCCTCAAGATTTAACTAAATTACAGATACCCTCTGAGGTTTCAAAAATTACAGATACCCCCCAAAGATTTATATTTTCATAACAAATTGCCCTCTGAGATTTATATTTTCATAACAAATTGCCCCCTAATTTGTTATGCAAATATAACTTTCAGAGAAATATCTGTAATTTCTCAAACTCCAAAGAGATATCTATAATTTTACTAAACCTCGAGGACGTATATGTGATTTGCCCTTAAGAAAATGTACATAGACTTGTTTTCTAATTTTTTAATCTGAGAAATTTCTTCCAACTGAAACATGCCACAGAAAGCGCCAAATATCGATCAAAGTACATCGTAGAGTCACCACAGAGAAAGTGCGAACCTCAGAATTCGATCTCGACTCACCCATGTGAGATCACCCATGTGAAACAAAATGCATTGTCACAAATGGATAAATTGCCAATAAGTTCTAATAATTTGAGTTAATTCTCCTAAAATTCTATTGAAAATAAATTTTATTAAAATTGTCACTAAAAATAATTTTTTACAACTTTTATATATGTCGCTAAAATTTAACAATTAATAACTTTTTTTTGTTAAGATTTTTATAAATAGTCGCTAAAACTTACAATTAATGACCTTTTTTATAATAAATTTTTCAAACTGTTGCTAAAAATTAAAAATTAGTCACTTTTTGTGACAATTTTTTTAAACTATCACTAAAACTTATAATTAAGAACATTTTTTGTGAAAATTTTCAAATTATTGCTGAAAATTAACAATTACTAACATTTTTTTAATGTCTGATGAAAGATAACATAACTGTACTTGTCAAATAACATAAATTATTAAAGAGCCATTAACAATTAATTCACACAATACCTATTAAATAAGAAGTCCAATTATTAAGAGCCATGCGTAATTGTACTTGTCAAATAACATAAATTCTCTTTCTAATTATTAACTAAGGTTTCGAACAAACAAACCTTATCTGTAAACATAACTGAACTAAGAATAAAAATACATGAGACTTCAAAATATCAAATTCCTACTACACAATTATATTGAATTACCAATACTTCCTTCTCCACAGGTTCTTCAGCAATAATGCCACTGAAAACATTCCGTCAAACAGTACAAAATCTAGTTAACTTCTTAGCATTCGAGAGAGAACAAATTTTCCCTTTTTTCTTAACTGTTTTCTTAAGTTGAGTTTGGTTCATAAATTTGAAAAGAAATTTAGAAAAGAAAAGAGAAGTGTGTCAAATGTAGTTTTACATATTTTACCTACATTCTCTTTTCCTTTCTAAATCTCTCACAAAATCCATGATTCAAACACAACCTTAGGAACCAAAGAAAGGGGGGAAAAGGAAATAAACGATTATTATGAGAGGTTCGATGGGATGTCAACCTCCCATATTTTTAAAATTGTGATAACAATAAATTATAAAACTAAAAGGTCGCATAGGTCTTACATTTAGAAGTCATGGAAGAGCATGATAGCATCATCAAGCTTCATCAGGGATGATTCTAAAACAATCCTGACCTTTCTCAAGCGCGCGTATCTTTTGGCCAATTCCCCTACAAGCTTTTCTCTTGGTATTCGAAGTATCTGGTGCAAGTTGTCATACAAAACGATCAGTGCATTCAAATACAATGATACAGTAAAATAGTTATCGTTGCAGCAAGACCAACATCAGAAAAACTTCAACCCGTTATGCAATGTCATTGGTTTCAGGTAAAGGGGCACAAACACATCACAAATTCACTGAAAAAGTTGACGTGAGTCTCAAAAACTTCTTTAGGGATGACGTACCTCTAAAATTCAACACAAACATATCCTAACAGAATTTTCAAATCTCCGAACAAAATATATTAATCAACGTAACAAAGAACTTTCAGTTCCAGTCCAGCAAGTTGGGTTGAGGTGTTAAGTGTTCCCAAATAAGGATATATATCCAAATTAGGCTCAGTTTTTGAGTTTCGCATAGAAAAAATCAGTGTTTTAAAATCTATGCCGTATTAAGAAAATTCAGTTGTAACAATCAGACAACATTTCTTTTTTTATTTTAACTGAACCAGCAAGAGGCTCCTATATGGTCCCAAGATGCTCAACCATACAGAAATAATAATCATGGAAGATAAAATTTGAACTTGGCACAATCTTGATTTTTCAACACCAAAAGCTTTGGTGAACTTTTAGTTACAGACTTTAGCTTCATGAAAATGAATTTGTCGTATATTTTCTCAGCAGGCTCCTATCTAGCATCCACCCCATCAATATAGTTTAGTAATTAAAAAGATGGTTTAAACAACCAATAGCACCTAACCCTTCAATTTGATAACTCTTTTCAGTTGTACGCAGTTGAAAATTCCACTTTTCACAAAATAAAATGACAGGGAACAAGTGACAATAAACACGAGAATAAGGTCAAAGTACAGATAGAGTAAGGTCAAAGTAAAAGGATTGAGAGTACGAGTAGCTGTCTGCATTTTACGAACCTCTTTTTCTTGTTCTTGTTCGTGAGCGATTCGTATTCTCAGATTTAAGGCAGTGTGGTACATCTCATTTAAAACATTATCCCAAAGAGTATGCTTATTAACATTCCACAACAAGAACTGTGACTGTTTACTTCCGTATGTGACTATTTTCTGCAAGGAAAATGAGAGAATATCATAGATACGTCAAAAAATAAAAGCTATTAATTATCTTTATAGTACTGGAGACACAAATGAAATTGTCATTTGATGTGCAGATGGGTAGTTCCGTTCAGCCAAAAAATAGAAGAAAAAAGGCTCAATTAGTACACCGCATTAATGGATGTTTGGGAGGGGTTAGATTGTGTACATACCTAACCTTTGGCATAAAGGCACAGACTGACTGTTCTCAGAACCCATAACCTCTATATTAATTTATTTGTTGCCAATATAAGATAAAAAAAAAACCACATCCAACATAGCGTGTACAAAATAGAAGAGGACAGACATCAAAATTCTGTGACGAGACAATATGTTCTTTAGAACTGTTGTGTATGTGTGTATTTCACTTTGTATACGTTAAGTAAAATAAATACATGCTTATTGCCACCAGATAAGAAAAAGCAACTCAATAAACCTAGGAAATACAATTTACCTCCATATGCAAATAATCATCTTTCCACAGTTGATATAGGATCTTTGCTGTATCTTTCTTTGCGACAAAAGTGGTGTTTGAAATCTACAAATGTGAAATCATAGGTTAAATAATAAAAAGCAAAGTGAGTGCACATACACTAGAACACCAAAAGGGAGGCAACTGACGTATCAACTATCAATCTAATCAGAATTTTTTATCTCCCCCCTAAGCACTATTACATAAGATGAAAACAAGAAAGGTTTAAGAACTTAACCTATAACATTCTTTACAATTCACATCAGGCTCACCAGACGGGAAATAGTGAGAGCCTCATGGTTCTAACAATTGATAAGCTGATACTCTAATTCTCTACTTTGTCTTATTTTATTTTTCATTACACCAAGATGTCCATGAGCAACTGAGTAAGAATAATCCCCACAGATTAACACAATCACTGACAAACCACCTGCATTATGTAAGCTTGCAGTGTCAAACTTGAGACATTTGGTTCCTTAGGCATCACCTCAAACAACTCAGTTACCCTTGCTAGTCAATATTTTAACTCCCTATTTAGTAATTCCAAAATTTTGATTGTGGCCGACTTGCAGAGAAACCTTCACATATGTTTCACATACATCTTCAAAAAAATCTTTTAGTCATGTAGTTTGTTGGTTTAATGCATTCAAAAATGCTCCCCTGCCTGCAACATTCAGATGGTGATATCTCCTATGAGTTAATTCACATATTTCTAAAACATAGATTTCACCAACAAATGCTGCTATGGCCTATTCAGCATCTGCATTCAAATCCGCACAATATGACAAAAAGATCAATATAATGACTGATTTCCTTTCCATATACATATTCATGTAAAAGTAAAATCGCAACCCGCAAGAGTTTTTCAATATTATTGAATGCCTGTAATTGACTGTAAACATATTTACCAATCACATTTTCTTACCTTATCAGTCTCAACTAAATGACCAGCCTTTGAGAGTAACCTGAATATCCTATAAGCCTCCCTCCCATATCTCTTCAACACAATTGATTCCACCTACAGCACAGGGCATGTGATTAGGATTCTCACTGAGATGAAGGATAATATGCAAAAAGAACAAAACAAAAAAACACCTCCTCATTCTGAGCCAGTTCAATAATGCTCTTCAAATCTGCACAAGAAATACAAATGTGCATCAGTTGATGCATAATGAATATTAAATCTAAATTAACATTGGTAGATTCAGTACTTGTATAAAATATTTATAAAAAAAATACGTAGTTTCAAATTCAAAGTCATTCACAAGCCATAATTTTATTTTTTCAAGCAGATATAAGCTGAGGTTAAAAAGAAGTAGGTTACCAATACTATATGTTTCATCTATCCCTATCTCAGGGAGATGACAACCCAATTGTGCTAGGGAAGCTCTGGCATGTTCTAAGGTCATGCTACGACCTTCTTCGCTCTTCATCACCTCTTCAAAAATAGTATCCATGGATAGAGGAACTGCAAATTATAACATCATATGGCAACAAGTAAGCAAGAAAATAGAAATGGAGTTGCAAGCTGACAGTGCAAGTTCAAAACGAAGGAATTTACAGTTTTTACACTTCAAGAGAATGAGGAGTTCTTAAAAGGTATGGCATAGAGCAACAAACAATCATATGAGACAGTAGGTCTAACTTAAAAATATTATTTCTCATCCCTTTCCAATTCTCTAAAAGAACAATTTCTTACTTCAACAAGAAGCCCAAATTTTCTCTGAATAAATACTCTAAAGGCCTTATTTCCATAACCCTATCCACTTCCCTACCCCTAGGAAAAACTTCTGGACTCTCTCTCCATAGAGCCCAGGACCTTTTCATCACCTTTTAAAACCTTAACGCTAGAGCTATCCATGACCTTAGCTCACCACATAATCAGCAACTGGCAACACTAATCTCATTTCCTTAGTTTTTTTGTTTACTAATTTATTTATTTCTTTGTTCTTGGATTATAGAAACTAAACTAACAATTTAATTATAAAATTCCAAACATAGGGTATGAAAAATTAAATTTTAAAGCAGAAAACAATCATATGAGAGATAGCTCACCTGAATTTTCTATTTTCACTTTATTCTCTGCACTTCTAGTTGACTTCAAAATTGCACTTAGAACAATGCCAGCTCCATCATCAAGCCGTGTTCTTACATTTCCAATGCAAGCCTAGAGCACATAAACAGATTGTGCATAGCACATTGTAAAGGCATACAATTTAATATCACATAAAACACAAATACTTCATTTAGTGCATAAGGTATTAGATATAAAATCCTCTTCTTCTTTTTTTGGTGAGTTAGATGTAAAATGCACCCCGTGCCATGCCCATAGAGCAACTAAATTCAAGACTGAGATAAGAAAATTTTATTGAACAGAACGAAAATTTTATACGCAAAATGACCTATCCAAGACGCAGAATGAAATCCATGCATGTGCATATGAGCCTGCCTGCAAATGCATAACGCCTGATGCCAGTGTCTCCAGTTGTGTGTGTGTGCAATAGAAAGAGAGGAAGCAGGAGTGGGTGCAAAAATTTGTTGCACCATTGAAAAGTCTCTAAATTTGACAAAGAGTAGAAACGGTCAACAATGATCATCACCTAAGGTCAAAAATGACTAATATTATTTTGTTTTAGGGAAGTGTCATAGTACCAAAATTAGTTGGCCAAATGCTGTCCGTGTTTTGATAAATCTACAAAATGTTGCATATAATCAACAAAAGGATTTATTTTTCATGTAAGATTGGCTTTGAGCGAGAGAGAGAGAGAGACAGGAGAATGGGTTTAAAAATGCAAACTGAAAAACAAAAAGGAAGTGGCTTTTACAACATCCCTTTGACCAAAACTTTGCATCTTTTAGAATTCCTATTCATCATGCAAATAGCAAAGCTAGATAGCCAAACTGTACTTAGGGCAACAAAGAAGGAAGAGGTCATTACTTTCAATCCCTTAGAAAAACCTTAATCCTTCTATCATAATCTTTAATTTTCCTCCTGATTCCTCCATCCTTCCTTCCACAAGATGGATTCCATGATAACTAACAGGGCTAAAATTATGCCAAAGAGCAAACAAATTGAACTTGCAACTATGATACGTTTTCTTTTGACAAGTATTTAAAAAACCTCTAAATCTGAAAGATCGAATTTTATTCAAACCAAAAATCTCATAAGGAAATAAAATTTTCAGGTAAAGCAACGCAAGCATCTCCACAAAGAGCATCAATATGAAGGTTAATATTTAATTGATCCTCAAGATAAGACACCAAGAATTTTTGTGGCAATGAATTTACATTAAGGTGAAAGTATTAAAAAAAATCTAGCACTCTCTCATTTCTTTGGATCTATGAAGCACAGACACAGCACACGACGATTTCAAAAAAATAGGAACACGGAAACGGGGGGGACACGACAATTTGTTTTTTTTTAATTATATATATGTGTATTTGCAATAAATAAAATTCTAATTTTTTTTTAATTATATATATGTATTTGTAAAGCCACTACATTTAAATAAACAAAATAGAATACAATATGATATTTATTATACATAAAAAATATTGTATATATAAAAAATATTGTATATATATATGATATTTAAAAAATGTTGTATTTTTATTATTGTATATATATAGAATAGACAAGAGAGAGAGAGAGAGAGAGAAGACAAAAAACAGAAGACTGAGACGAGAAGGGAGAGACGAAAGACGAGATCGACGATCAACTTTGCTCGATGAATGGAGATTGACAACAAAGACAGAGATCAACAACAAAGACGGAGATCGACAACAGAGATGGAGATCGACAGAATCGCAGGTTCACTTTTCTCTTCTTTCTTTTTTTTCTTTTCCTTTTTGATTTTGGATTAGGTCTCTTCTTCTCTTTGGCTTTCTGAATAGGGCTTCAATTAGAGCTCTAGAGACGAGAGACAGGGATTTGATTAGGGCTTTCTGACCCTGCCGTGTCCAATTCCATGTCCCGCTGTGTCCCCTGCCATGTCCCATACCAAAAAAAATAAATAAATAAAATGTCGTATGTGCCCGGTGCGTGTCCCCGTGTTCGACATTGCTATGGCGCCTATTTTGAAGTGTCTGTGCTTCATAGCTTAGAATGCATAGATTATATTTAATAATCATCAGGACACACCAACCTTATCCCTAAGGCGTCTTACAAATTCTTCAAAATTGGCACGCCAGAGTACTTCTTTCCTTCTCTTCTTAGTCCCAGCTTCTGTATCCAGCTCTAAATCAATCTGCTTGCGCTATAAAGGTAGAAAATAAAAAGTCATGACAAGGTTGAACCAGGTAAGTTCAATACAAACCATTACACTAACCTTCTCCCCAACTGTTGCACTAGGTAGAGGGTTTCCCTCGCTTTCCTCTCCACAACAATCCGTCTCAGTATATGTTTCAACTACAAATCTTAATGCTTCCATTGGGGCTGCCGCCGCTAATGCACGTTGCTCTATAGTTTCTGATTCTTTCATCACCTGTATAAATGTGTAAACTACGAATTTGGAATTTAAAAGATTGAAATTCATCAACAACAAAAGGTATGCAGAACAATCACATAAACTATGTAGTAGCTTAAGAAAGGGAACGAGCTGGTCTTATTCCCTTTTTCAGGAAAAAAGAAAGAAAGACAGTCATAGAAGGGTGACTACCAATTCCAAACCCCAACCTACCAGTCCACCCTTATAGAAGGGTTCCTTTATCACTGCAAATACAAGAGATGATTATGATATCTTCAACTGTGTGATGGCACATTTCACATTTAAAATGTTTTTGGGAACATGGTACCCACCACACCCCAGAATTAGAATTGAAAGTCAGTTTAGTTCATATTTGAAACTACCAATTCCAAATCCAAGCATGGATTACATTAACATTTTGAAACAAAGTCACCAAGAAAGTTCTATAGCCAAATGTAATTATTGATCAATCAATCTTTGGATCATTATTGCAAACTTCTTTCTAGAGAATGAGACTACCTAGATTCCGCCTTTGTCATTTTTTAATAGAATAACAAATCTACATATAGTGACAATAGAATGTACGGTCACTAACAATGGGATAGAAATGAGACATAAACTACCTTAGCAGATTTGGCACCTTGTTTCTTCACCACAGTTTCTTCCTCAGCTGGAGGTGCAAGGAATGGTTCATGGGCAGGGCAGTGTTCCAAATATCGGGAATTTACAAGTCTATTAAAGTTGTTTTGTAAAGCATCCCGAGCTGTAAAATTCCCTGAGCATAAATAGGAAAGAAAAATTTAGCAATTAATAATAAAATGTATGGTGAAAAATTGGTTTGCATAAGCTACATATCAGAGCACAAATCATTTCCAAATTATTGAATTCGTGTTAGTCTTTTTACATGTGCTAGTTTATGAATCTTTCTGCTCAAAATTTTCAGCTTGGAAAAGATTCATATTTCCCTATCTAAATCCTTTCTACAATTTCTTTCTCCATCCCTTTTTTTTTCTCCTTTCATATCCATGTAGGAACTTTACTTTTCCCTTATATGTTGAAACCAGCAATAGTGAACATTTAAATGAATTGCTAGAGCTTCCCAATCTGACTGCGCCTTAGTGAATGACATCCACCTCGATTCCTTTGCAAGCACGCATCACTGTGGCTCATATAATTGTTTGGTTGTAGCAAGCAGGCAAATGGACTCGATTCATGATGGTCTTTTAACAAATAAAATCAAAATATGTGTGATGCCCATAAATCTAGTAGTCAACATGGCCATATGCTAATGGATCAATATTTGAGACATGCTAGTGACACCATACAGTTGACACTTCTTTATATTATTGTTGACTGCTAGGCTTTTATTTTACTAATATGAAGGTTTTCGGCACATTTCATATAATCCAATTGCAGCCACATCTTTAAGCTTTCTTTTATATGCTATTATACTTGAGCCTAACTATTGTTTTGTTTGGAGCAGGTGTGCATGGACTGTTGAGCATATGCTCCACACTTGAGTGTGCGCCCCTCTGCATAGTGAGCTCAGGTTTTAATTATTTGACACTAGCTGCAGTGGATTCCTTACAATGGCCACAAAGTTATCCAAAAAGACCGGGTTTAGCTTCAAAGAGTGATTCTATCCTCATTGATGTGTTTTGTTTACCATCTGTTGGTAATCAAGTGACTACATAATTGGAGGGAGGGGGGTGGAACTAGCATTATGAAAATAAGTAAAGACAGGAACAGGTGAGTGTCAATTTTATAGTTCTCCATTAATCTCAAAGGTAGTACTTCTCCTGATCCTCATCCTGTCGAGGACCATACTCTCAGTCTCAAGAATCTGAGGGGCAACTCAAACCTACAAGAATTGTAATATCAAATACAACTATAAAATGCTTAATGTACATTGCATAACAGAAGCATAAATGTGAATCGACTTTGATTTTGTTGGGAATTTCCTTTGTGTGCTCTACACACACACACACACATCTTCAAGCATTCAATTGGTAGCTATTGCTCTTGAACTTTATTTGCTTCTTCTTTCTGATTTGGTGCAAGAAACCAATAACCATTAACCATAACCTTGATTATTATGAAATTACACAAGAAAGAGACAAATTCAGTTTTAAGTATGTCTATTAAAATCCCTGACAATTACCCGTTATGTTGCAGTTTAGTTATAGTTCCGATCCAACATCACTTTCAACTAGTAACAGGACCAATGTTACAATATTAAAGAAAACTAACAGAATCAAAACACAAAGAAAGACAGAGAGTCTTGCCTTCACTTTGATTGGCTGTCTCCTTATGCCTATCTAAAATCTGATCAAGCGAAAGCCTGCCATGTTGAAGCAACCCTTCAAGGATATCCTCGCACTGCCAAAACCAAAATCTTATCAATCAATAAACTAAACTCAGTTAGAACATCAAACCAAACATGCCCCCAAAAAAACCAATCTAACTCACTTCTTTACCAAGTTCTTCAGACACATAAGCCAAAAACTTAGGAAACCTCATATGGTGGATTATGTTGTCAAACAACACCATGTACTGAGTTACAACCTTTGGTGCCTCTCCAAAGCTACCTACATTCATAAATATTATTACCATGAATTTTTTTAAAAATCTTTTTCCTTCTGTTTCTCAGCTTTGTTTGATTAGAAAGAAAACGATGATGGAAAGTGAAAGTAGTAGAAAGCGAAGTGAAAGAAAAGCAACGGAAAGGAAAATATATTTTCTCACAAGCATTGATTAGCATGAAAATGTTACAAGAACAAGAGAGAGAAATTCAAATTTTAAATTATAAAAACTCTTCCAGGGACAAACTTAAATTTTCTTGTGTTTTTTTTTTCCATAATTTGCAAGAAATTTAAAACTTAGTCATCATGCTAATATGGGTTGTGTAGAAATTTCTTGCAACTCCATTCACTTGACAGGAAAATGAAGTTATGGGAAAATCAACTTTCGTGCAATTTTTCTCATGCTCAACTAGCAAGAAAGTTGTGGTACCTACATCTCCAACTTTCCCATTAGGATATATTTTCTCTCAAAACTGATCCTGCAAAAGATTTTGCGGGAAACTTAACAATAACTTCTCTTTTCCTAACAAGTGAACACACAAGCAGAATTTTTTTTTATTTTTCCTTCACTTCACTCTAAGAAGCACGGACACTTCTAAAAAGTAGCGTACACTGACACTCGTCAGACACTCATCCAAATGTGTTTTATTTTTTAAAAATAAATTTAGGCTTGGACACTCGGAGGACATAAATATCAATTGCTTATACACACATGTCCATTGATTAGGTATACACAAAAACTATTTATAAGTTTGAACAAAGGAAAAGACTATGTACATACCACTCAAAAAGGTGTGTGCCTTATATATCTAAAGAATAAAATGACATAACTTCATACTTTCTGAACCTAACAAAACAAAAAAAAAAAAAAAGTCATAACCAAACGCCACATGAGACCTAACTAGAGATCTCACGAGTCATGACTAAAAAAAAAAAGTTGATCATAACTAAAAAAAAGCAAATGACATAACAGTGCATATGTTAGGGGTGTGTATGGTAGAATTCTCCTTAAACAAAATAACTTAAAAAAACAATGATAACAACAAAAAAAAACTTCTTCTACCACTTTCATACTTGGCAAACTCAGTTTTTTTTTTTCCTCTTTCCTTTTCTCTTGCTACCACGTTTATCCTAATCAAACTCAGTCTATATGTTCTAAGGAAAAAGACACTAGCAATTTGGAAACAGAGATTTTGAGCATAACAATGAATCACACTGTACCTTCTTGTTGGATAGAGAAGGCTTGAACGCAATTGTGTTGGATTAAAACAAGCAAAGAGTTTCTGACTTGAACTTTGTTGAGCTCTGTGAATCGAACAATGTTTGCACATGATAGGGTTCCTCTGCGAAGAAGACACTCGCAAACTTTCTGCATGCATTCAAAAAATGGCAAAATTTTCTACAAATCAACAGGCGTTGTTTTGTTTAGTTGCCGAGAAAACCTAACAATGAAGAAAACTAGAAAGCGTTGAAATTTTCTAGGGTTTTTGAGTTTCTTACAGCGACGAGATTGCCGAAGTAGGAGGAGATGAGAGAAACGGAGAGCTTGATACCGTACTGAGTGACCATGTCGGCGTCGATGTCTCTCTTCACGTTTCAAAGAAGAGAAAGAGTGATAGACTGTGATTGAGGAAGTGGAATCAGGGTTAGGTATACGAGGGAGAGAGAGAGAGGGGGCGGGAAGAGAGAGTGATCGAGTGGGAGGAAGTGGAATTAGGGTTAGGTATATCATTTTGCAAACGAAAAAGGCTAAATGTTGGGTCTATGGCTCAGTGGTAGATCATTTGACTTCAGTTCACGAAGTCCCCGGGTCAAGCCCGGTTGGGCTCTCGTTAGATATTTACAATAATTTTTGTTATTATTATTATTTTTCATTTTATATATCGAAAAATAACTTTTGATAGTAATATATTTTTTGTGAAATTCAAAATCTAAAAATTAAAATTATAAGTTTTTGAATTTCAAAACTTATTGGAAGCCTAGTTTTTTTAAATTCTAAACACAAAATAATTTTACTCCAATCTAAGTTTGTTTGCTTTTTTCAATTCTAAAATTTAGAAGCCTAATTTTTTAGATTCTAAGGTATCGTTTAGTATGTGACACTTTTAATCTAAAAGTCAAAAAATTATTAAAAAATTCAAAAAGTCTATAACCTATATCAAAAAGTCAAAGATTCATTTTTCTCTCTATTTTTTGTACATCTTTTGATAAAAAATCAAAAAAGTTATTCCAAGTATATTAGTTTTTTTTTTATCTCATATTTTAGCCAAAAAATTAAAAAATTATTAAAATAACATATCCTCAAACAAGGCCTATATAAAAAAAACTTTACTCTATCTAATCTTTTTTGTTTGTTTAATTCTAAACTTGAAATTCTATATATATTTTTTTTAATTCTAAATCTTTAAAGAATTGGACACTCAGTCCATAAATCCAAATTGAAATTTTGTTTCGTCAAAAGTTCAGGCACTGAAATACTTGTTGTAGACGTCCCCCGAACGCCCCGGGAGGGTTTAGCTCCCGTTCTGTTCATTTGGGGTCACTACAGCTCGGACTCTTAAATGTCACGGTTCCTAATCTGAACCAAAGAGTCCAAATCCGGCAAATCGTTTTGAGAAAACTGATTTTTGAAAGAAGTGCCAAACATGGACTGCTTTGCCAGATACAGAGTCGCCACCTAAATATTTTATTTTGGGAAATTTAGGAAACCCTGACTCGGTGCCAAAAGGCCACGTGTCCGTCATCACCAAAGACAGGAAAATGAAGTTATGGGAAAATCAACTTTCCTGCAATTTTTCTCATGCTCAACTAGCAAGAAAGTTGTGGTACCTACATCTCCAACTTTCCCATTAGGATATATTCTCTCTCAAAACTGATCCTGCAAAAGATTTTGCGGGAAACTTAACAATAACTTCTCTTTTCCTAACAAGTGAACACACAAGCAGAATTTTTTTTTATTTTTCCTTCGCTTCACTCTAAGAAGCACGGACACTCCTAAAAAGTAGCGTACACTGACACTCGTCAGACACTCATCCAAATGTGTTTTATTTTTTAAAAATAAATTTAGGCTTGCACACTCGGAGGACATAAATATCAATTGCTTATACTCACATGTCCATTGATTAGGTATACACAAAAACTATTTATAAGTTTGAACAAAGGAAAAGACTATGTACATACCCCTCAAAAAGGTGTGTGCCTTATATAACTAAAGAATAAATGACATAAGTTCATACTTTCTGAACCTAACAAAAGAAAAAAAAACAGTTTTTTTTTTTTTTCCTCTTTCCTTTTCTCTTGCTACCACGTTTATCCTAATCAAACTCAGTCTATATGTTCTAAGGAAAAAGACACTAGCAATTTGGAAACAGAGATTTTGAGCATAACAATGAATCACACTGTACCTTCTTGTTGGATAGAGAAGGCTTGAACGCAATTGTGTTGGATTAAAACAAGCAAAGAGTTTCTGACTTGAACTTTGTTGAGCTCTGTGAATCGAACAATGTTTGCACATGATAGGGTTCCTCTGCGAAGAAGACACTCGCAAACTTTCTGCATACATTCAAAAAATGGCAAAAATTTCTACAAATCAACAGCCGTTGTTTTGTTTTGTTGCCGAGAAAACCTAACAATGAAGAAAACTAGAAAGCGTTGAAATTTTCTAGGGTTTTTGAGTTTCTTACAGCGACGAGATTGCCGAAGTAGGAGGAGATGAGAGAAACGGAGAGCTTGATACCGTACTGAGTGACCATGTCGGCGTCGATGTCTCTCTTCACGTTTCGAAGAAGAGAAAGAGTGATTGACTGTGATTGAGTGAGGAAGTGGAATCAGGGTTAGGTATACGAAGGAGAGAGAGAGATGGGGCGGGAAGAGAGAGTGATCGAGTGGGAGGAAGTGGAATTAGGGTTAGGTATATCATTTTGTAAACGAGGAAGGCAAAATGTTGGGTCTATGGCTCAGTGGTAGATCATTTGACTGCAGTTCAAGGAGTCCCCGGGTCGAGCCCGGTTGGGCTCTCTCCAGATATTTACAATAACTTTTGGTATTATTATTATTATTTTCCATTTTATATATCGAAAAATAACTTTTGATAGTAATATATTTTTTGTGAAATTCAAAATCTAAAAATTAAAATCATAAGTTTTTGAATTCCAAAACTTATTGGAAGCCTAGTTTTTTTAAATTCTAAACACAAAATAATTTTACTCGAATCTAAGTTTCTTTGCTTTTTTCAATTCTAAAATTTAGAAGCCTAATTTTTTAGATTCTAAGGTATCGTTTAGTATGTAACACTTTTAATCTAAAAGTCAAAAAATTACAAAAAAATTTAAAAAATCTATAACATATATCAAAAAGTCAAAGATTCACTTTTCTTTCTATTTTTTGCACATCTTTTGATAAAAAATCAAAAAAGTTATTCTAAGTATATTAGTTTTTTTTTTTATCTCATATTTTAGCGAAAGAGTTAAAAAATTTCTAAAATAACATATACTCAAACAAGGCCTAAATATAAAAAGAACTTTACTCTATCTAATCTTTTTTGTTTATTTAATTCTAAACTTAAAATTCTATATATTTTTTTTAATTCTAAATCTTTAAAGAATTGGACACTCGGTCTATAAATCCAAATTGAAATTTTATTTAGTCAAAAGTTCACGCACTGAAATACTTGTCCATAAGGACAAATTTGAACAAAATGACCAAAATACTTAGGTATATATTTATATTATATAACGTCTCTCCTGCCATCTAAACCATTTCCACACATTCATCTCTCTCTCTCGAGCGATGCCTCTCTTCTGTCCATCATCCATTTCCTCCACTCACTATCACCATCTTCCCTCATTGGCTGACGTTATCACTGTCACATTTTGTTCGATCAGATCTTGTCACGACCCAAACCCGCCCCTATAGGTTTAGCATCGTAACAAGCCAGTAATCCGTGGATTACCAAAGGCCTCTGAACAGATAAGCACATAATAAGGGGTTGCGGAAACAATTATACAAAATAGACAAGGTCCAATGAGCTGTGATAACATACATGGGACAGAAGATTTCAAAACTTGCATATACATAACCGTGTCGGTCGAAGGACATCAATATTTACAAACATTTACAACAGTGTAGTTCTCAGGACCTGACTTTACAAAACAGACAGAGACTAGCATAAGTACAAAAATAGCCATGTAACTCGAATTCGGTCGGGACCTCCTCGGGAGGCACAACGGTTAGCTAACAAAAACAGAAATGAAGGCCGTCAACTCTGGCCCTGATCACACGTCGGCTCACCTACATATATAATATAAACTGTGAGCGAAAGCTCAGTGAACAATAACAAAGTAAAGGGGTTTCAATGAATGAGTATGTACAGATTCAGAAATCATAATTCAGTTTCGTATCAAATTCATAATTTGTCCAGATTATATACAGAAATCATGAGGTATGCTTAAGTGTACACGATACATCCATTAGCATTAACAGAGCAAATACAGAACAGATGCAGACACGTGAGGGTTACGAATAACCAGTTTCATAAAGGAACCTCCGGATTCGGGTAACAGAGAGTAAACACGCTGAGCCCCATGACGGAGCCTCCGGTACGGGTAACAGAGTGCAGACAGATTAAGTTCCATAATGGAACCTCCGATACCGAGTAATAGCCAACAGATATCGCATGATGCTAAGGATGTCACGAATACATATCAAAAATTGGACAATCATTCATTGTACAGAATATAGCATATCAGAAAACAGATCTTATTTTATCACACAAAAAATAAATACAGTTGAACATAACTTTACTAAGTTATTACTCACAGTTGGTCTTGAGACAGATAGATGAAGCAGATTGGTCAAATAGTACGTGGTACGTGACCTACATAACACATAGCAGTCACACACTTGAAACACACGTTCTAATTGTACGTAATTTACTTCGTTCGTTCTTAGCATGTTTCTAACCCTTAATCCTCATTATGGAGTCTTAAACATGGCCTAGGAATGCCTAGGATGGAATAAGGATGTAAGAATGCATTGGAAAACATTTCTTAAAACTTGCTGAAAATAAGGCCCACGCTCGAGCGTGGCCTTCCCCTCTCGAGCGGACATGCAGACAAAGAAGCTCCACTCGAGCGTGACTTTCCTCGTTCGAGCGGACTGTAAACTCTTGAAAAAGTGTTGGATGCATGATTTTCACGCTCGACGGACGCTCGACCCCCGCTCGAGCGTGAGACTCAGAACCTCGCTCGAGCGTGAATCCCCTCGCTCGAGCGGACTGCAAAACACACAAACTTCTGGGTATATGCATTTCACGCTCGAGCGTAACCTTCGACGCTCGAGCAGAGGTGCATGTACTCATAGTGCACGCTCGAGCGTAGAGTTCTACGCTCAAGCGTGGATCAAATTTCTGGAAATTTCAGATTTGATCACCAAGCTCAAATTCAACCCCAAATGCATCAAACTCAATTTTATGGGCCCAAAACTTTGGAAAACACTTAGAGACTCATAAAATAACATGTTTAAAGGATCATTTCAAGAAATCATGGCCCAAAAGGATACCAATTGAACAACATTCAACTTGAAACTTGAAGAACGATGCAAGAACATAACATGCATGAGCTTCCTTGAATTCAAACACTCCAAAACATAATCAAACTTGGTAATTTAATAGAAAACAAGATGAATGACCAAAATGTAAGTAAGGTTAACACATGCATGAAAGAAACCTTTGAAATCATGCTCAATTTGTGAGAAAATGTACATGCATGCATGGTATGGTCCATTTCTCCCCAACTCTAGTGCAATTCCTACTTAAATTCACTTAATTCACCAATAACCTTGTAGAATCTAAGTTAATTACTCAATTACGAGTTTAGTCCCTTACCTAGAGGCTTCAATCTACAAAATCAAGGTTGAGGCTCTACAAATCTTCTTCAATTATCACAATTCTTAGCCCCTCCTTGAGTTTGAGCTCAATCTTCAAGTCTTGAACCAAATTCCTCCACCCTCACTCTCCCTCACATTTTCTTTCTCTGAAGGCTCAAGTGTGGTCAAATGAATAAAGGAGTTGAGTGGGGCTCAATTAGTCTAATATAGACTTAAATAAAGCATAGCTAATTAGGGTCAAATAAATGGCACTAATTTAATCAAATTTAATTGCTCCGAACCGAATTTTAATTAAACCTACCATAAAATTCTATAAATCCTAATTAGCACATCAATCAAGTCAATTTCTGATTCGGACGCCGATAAGGCTTTCAATTCGCAAACCGAAACTAAAGCATGAACAGATCTTTCTACACCGAACAGATAAAGACACAAAAATAATACAACACACACATGCAGTTTAATTCAGAATTTCACCTTAAGTGCTAATTAGGCATAATTAATCACGGATTAATGTTAATCAGAGGTCGGAGTTGTTACAGATTTCTACAGTTGCGACTATGCTTTCTCCCTCTCCTCGCGGCTACACCGTCGCCGCCTCAACTCCTCTTTATCTATCGCTAGTAGCTTTTCTTCCTTCGTTCACTACATCGTCCAGATTGGTGTCTCCGGTCAACCCGCCCCGTTTCTTATACACGGAATAAACTACAGAGATCAAATTGACACATCGAATGACTTTCCGTCCACTAAACATAATAGTTATTATTTATTGGACTAATATAACACAATCCGTTAAGTTAAAGGACAAAATCAAACAAATTAAAATAACCGAGACTAAATTAACACATCGATTAAACTATAGGGACCATTTGCATAATTTACCATAATTTTTTTTTAATATGACACATTAATATGATAAAAACAAAACACGAACTTAAAATAACATGACACAATAACACAAAATAAACATTTATAGTTTTGTTAAGGAAATTGTTGTTTTGATTTTTCCATAATAATACTAGAAAAATATAAAAAATAAAATTAAATAGAAATGACAAAATAATTATTTTTTTTAATTAAAGAATGAAATATAGAATAAACTACAAAACTAAAAAAACATAGGAATGAATTAGATTATACCATAAAGTATATTACAAAATGGATTCAAATGGACATATAAAATAATATATGAGAAATTATTTAAATTTAAAATTTTGAAAAACAAAATATTAGGGATTGTAGACGTCCCCGAACGCCCCCGGGAGGAACGAGGTCCCGTTCCGCTCGTATTGGACTCACTACAGTTCGGACTCTCAATTTGTCACGGTTTTAAATCTGAACTAAAGAGTCCAAATCCGGCAAATCGTTTTGAGAAAACAGATTTTGAAAGAAATGCCAGACATGAACTGCTTTGCCAGATACAGAGTCGCCACCTAAATATTTTATTTTGGGAAAATTTAGGAAACCCTGACTCGTTTGCCTAATGCCACGCGTCCGTCATCACCAAAGTTGCCTCGGCTCGGGAACTTGGGTACGATTGAGGAAGGTCACTTCGTGAGCACCTCCGCTCGCCTGATCAAAGATCGGCATCTATTAACCATGATATCTATTTTTGAAAACATTATGCGTTCTTATTCCGGTTATTAGCCTAGATTTACTATGTGATGCGCACAGCATACAAGTATAGACTGGATCGCCTGAATTGGAACAAAACATTTCATGTTTGTTTGTTTGAAAATGGTTTGATGGTGCTACTCGCAAGTAGGCTAAGACGTGGATTTGCCACCCTCAGGTGGGCTTAGAAAACATGATTTTGCCACTATCTAGTGGGCTTAAAACACACATTTGATGAATTGTTCCAATCCAAATAACCCAACCTTCACCCACAGGCATTCAGGCAGTTATATCACATAAGCAATTAGCCTCTGAAAGCCGCCTTGTACTTGCCAAAATGATCGCCTAAAGGTGAAAAGAATCCCCAGAACAATGTAGAATACCATGCACAATTTTGAATCTATCTTCTCAAGTTTTGCAAAAGAATCGGCTTAAAATTTTGAACTCATGAAGGACTT